TTTTTAAAAAAAATCTGTCTCACATCCAAAGTTGGCAAAATTTTTGTATGGCACCACACCAAGTACGGATGCTACATCGCTAGACTGAAGAGGACTGAGAGTCTATGATCCTGGTCCTGGAGGGCCACTATCCTGCATGTTTTAGGGTGTTTTCATACAAGCTCTGTTTAGTCCACTTTAATCAGAAAGTCTGGTTTGTTTGGGGAGGTGTGAACGCGACTCTGATTCAAACCAAAAAACAAACTCTGGTCACTTCAATCGCCTCGTTCTGGGTCTTTAATTTTCTTTCTGATCTGGCTGAGGAAAACATCCCAACATAGATCCTTAAATTATCGGCTTTAATTTTAATTCCCAGTGAAGCATTTTATAAAATAAAAACTAAAAAAACGGTCCTCTAAAACAGTGGTTCCCAAACTTTTTATCTTCTGACCCACAAAATATTCATGGCAAAAACTTGTGACCCCAAATATTACTGGTCTGAGTACACAAACTTTGTTAATAACCCTAAAAACACAGGTTTTTGACAATCTAAACAGCTTGCACACAAATATAAATACTTATTTATGCTTATTTTGTGTTTTTGTAATAATTATAGGGAAAATATTACATCAGCAATTATTTTATTACCCTTTAAATTGATTTCTGGAGATTATCCAAGGTGTTTCATGACTCATAATTGGTTCCCAAGGCCAACTTTGGGAACCAAAGTGCAGTGGTTCCCAAACTTTTCAGCTTTTGACCCACAAAATAACAGCAGCAGAGACCTGTGCCCCCAACTATTTTTGGATGATACACATTTGTATCAGGTCAACAAAACATGGGCATAGTAACAATATTTTTTATACTACATTTATCCATTTTAAACATACTAACCTCACTCCTTTGTAACAACTAAGGCAAAAACGTAATTAATTAAGAAAATCTTTTCAGGASCCCACCTTGATGTTTCGGGACCCCACTTTGGGTCCCGACCCCAACTTTGGGAAACACTGCTCTAAAGTGATTTTGACTCCTCCGTTTTAGTCCTCAGCTCTGCTGCTCACAAAAACTATTGTTGTACCAAAAAGAAGAAGAGCCTGAAGAGTTTTGTCATTTTTGTTTTGACAGTTATACTTGATGTGATAACTGTATCTTTACATTTCCCAGAATTCAGAGAAAGTCTCAAGCTGACAGAGCGACACCTGTTAAATCATATTTTTCTGTTTTTTTACCTTGTTCTCAGAAAGTTTTAACAGTTATGAATCCCAGAGTTAGAGCTGATTAAAACGTCAAAAATGATAAGAAAATTGGATTTATTTTGATTGTAAAAGTGAGATTTTTTGTTTTTATAGGTCCAAGTTGAACTTTAACAGAAAGGGACAAGACATTGGATTTTCAGGCACTGCTTTATTCAGTCACAGTGTATTGAGTTAATCACAATACAACATGAGCAACATTAACAGAATGATGCTGTCCACAGAGACATGTCAGATGTCCTTGTATGGCTTGAGTTGAATGATAAATATCATACAGCGACTATTTGAGGTTGTTGGGCTGGACAGAAAAACAGCATTGGGTTTTTTAAAAAGAAGTTTGAAGCTACTTACAAAGAGGCAACAAAATGTTTCCAAGCAGCTTTTAAATATAAGTTTTTGGTTTATAAATGTTTATCTGTACACGTTTTCATTTAGATGAAAAAGAAAAKCTGAAAAACAAAAACTTTGGTTAAAAACTTTACATCCTTTGAATAAAGGCCRTCAGAGCTAATCATGAAAAAATAATCAGTATTTAAAACTGATTTTAAAGGGATCCATGATTAGTTGTAACATTAGACTTTATGTGATAAACATATATTTTAACT